TAGAGAAGTTGTGAGACTTTCAGGACAGAGCCGAGAGACAGGAGGGACAAGGTGGTAGAGACCCAGAAGGGCTTCAGGAAGCTCCTAGGGGAGGAGGCAAGGAAACAGGAGGGTTCCAGTAGAGGGAGATGAGCAAGTGTCTTATTAACTAGAGAGTTGCCTACATGGGGGGGCCCTGGAGGGTATAGCAGGCTCCAGAAGCCAGAGAGAGGACACTTACCAAGTAGGGGAGGAGAGATGGGTGGTTAGAGCAGGTAGAGGGAAGAAGCAGCTGAAGGGGTAGGCTCTAGAATTTGGAACCAATTATGATGAGTGGCACAAGTTGGTAGAAACATGATTTGTACACACCTTAAGAGAGTCAAATCAACAACTTGAGTCAGTTTGAAATGTTGAGATTCTGACAGGGTTGAAAGGTAAGTATGACACCATCTACCAATGCTCCCTGCAGAGAGAGAGAGAACTCAGGAAGGGAGTCGTGCTTGGAGACACTTGTGTGTTAGGAGATGAGATGGGTGGTGAAAACAGAAGACAGTAGTGGGTGACCTGAAGGTTAACACTTTTTATTCACACATGAGAAGTTCAGATGCAGCCAGAGTATGCAGGCAAGGTGCCCATCCTTGGACAGTGTGGTCTAGTTTCTTCAATAGATATGCAACAGGAGCAAAGGAAGGTCCCAGTTGGTGACCCAGGAACCAGAGCACATATGCCTGCTTTTCTCTACCATAGAGAGAGAGAAGGAGCAAGTTAAGTCCAGAAGACAGTGCTGGAGCCTGGAGGAGGCCTTGTTGAAGCTTACAAAAGGGCTTGGTAATAGCTACAAGCGGGGTTCGTGTGAGGGGCCAAGGGCCACCACATATAAGGGGTGGGTGAGATAAGAGAAAGAGGGAATCCAAAAGTGTAAGAAGCCAGCCATCCCTAGGAAAGTAAGAATTTTGTCCTTGGTGGTAGGGACTGAAAGTGATTGGATTAGGTATTTCCTGTCTGGGGCAATGGCCTTGTGATTTGGGAGTGATAGCTAATCCAGATAAGTTACTTGAGGAGCAGGCAATCAGACCTTAGAAAGTGAAACCCTATATCCCCGGCTAGACAGAAAGTTTAATAAGGTAGAGGTGTCTGCCTGGCTAATTTGTGGGTACAGACTACCAAGGAGAAGATCATCTATGTCTTGTATATGCTTGGATTTAGGAAGAGACAATGTTAAGTCTGGCCAAATAGATGTGGGCTGTCCTGGAACTTCTGGAGTAGGACAGTCCAAGTGAGTTGGGTAGAAAGGTGAATGTCTGGTTCAGTCCAAGTAAGGCAAAGACATTTTATGACTGGGTGTCCAGAAGAATAGAAAAGAAGGTGCCCTTGAGGTCTAGGACAGAGAAATGAGAGGTCTCTGAGGGCTGGTGAAGATGAGAGTACAGGGGTTAGGTACTATGGGGTGAAGGGGAACCACTGCCAAGTTCATAAGTCATAGATCCTGAACCAAGCTGTATGTTCCATTGGGATTTTTAACTGTGCATATGGAGATATTAAAGGGGGAAGAAGTGGGGTGCAGATTCTTTCTTAGGAGGTCAGAGATAAGAGGCTTAAGTACCCTGAGGCTTTGGTAAGAGAGTGGGTTTTGAGCATGGGTGACATAATTGGTAGGGTCTTGTAGTTGAATGATGAGAGGGGGATGATGTCTGGCTATGGAGGGGTTCTGGGTGTCCCATACCAGAGGATCCACTTGGGCAGCTGTTAAGGGGAAAGGCATGGCAGATTTTGTGGTTTGGAGGAGCGGGTGGAGAGGAATAGCTGGCGAGCCTGGGGTCAGGTGAAGGAAATAGAGGGGAGTGAAGGAAATAGAGGCTCCTACTTTAGCCAGGAGGTCCCAACCAGCAAGGGGATAGGACGGGTCTGGTACCCCTAGGAAGGAATGGGTAAGGGGGACACCCCTAAAGATACAACTAAGTTGGTAAGGCTGTCCCCATACCCTGACATTAAGGGAACAAGGAGAGGTGAGTCCCCAAAATTCCATCAGGACTGAGTAGGTGGCCCTGGCCCAGTGTCCAAATGGAAGGAAATGGATCACCCTGATACTATGATAACCCATGGCTCCCTGTTGGAGATCGTGGTGGTCGGGCCAAGGGAGCCCTTCCCCTTAGTTGTCTATGGCCAGACCTAGGAGGTTGGCTGGGGGGCAATCTGTGCTTCATGTCCTCACACTCGAGGGACAAAGGGGCAGCTGACAGCCCAATGCCTCCCTTGATGTCACCTTGAACATGTCAAAGTGATTTAAGGAGGGCTCAGGCAAGCTCACTGACCCTCCTGACCACATTTGAGGCATGGATCTGGAGGTCCTTGGGTTTTGGAAGGCAAGGGAGCCTAGGCAGTTGCTATGGCCAGCTGAAAGGCCTTAGCTAGCAGCAGGTATTTTTGTTTGGGGGCCTTTTTCATCTATCCCTTGGTACACCGTGAAGGCCACTACTAAGACTTTTGCCTGTGGAGTTAGGGGGTTCCTCTCTAGATTTTTAGGTTGGGCCCTAATGTCAGAGACTCTGGGAGAAGGAATGCTTTAAGGACAGGTTTACGGAGACAAGCCAGGAGGCAACTTGTCTGGACTTCATCTGCATGTGCTCTAGCCTGGTCCCAGACTCTCCTGTGTTCCTCAGGGAGAAGGTTGTTGGTGAGAATCTTATAAATGCCATGGAAAGCAAGGTTGTAAGATTGGGTAATATATTGGAATTCTTTAATAAAGGTGTAAGAATTAGCAGTATAAGATCCCAATCCTTTTATATTTGAAAGTGTTTGCTTAGTGTGTGTAGGGGGAGCGGGTAACAGGGGTCCCATAGTGGAGCAGGAGTGAGTAGCAGGAGGACTAAAGGCTGCCAGTGGGCTGAAAAGTGGGAACCTGAGAGGATCGATTTGGGAGGCTCATTTCTGAGGGACAAAGGGAGACTAAAGAGGCCCGAGACTATGGGTGGAGGCTAATACGGGGGAGGCTTCTTAGCATGATCGCAAATAGTGGGGGGTCATCTGGTCTGGGCTTCACAGCGAGGAGTTGTTTCTTTCTTGTTTGGCTTATACCATGTAGTCACTTTTTTTTTTTTTTTTTGGTTTTTCGAGACAGGGTTTCTCTGTGTAGCTTTGCGCCTTTCCTGGAACTCACTTGGCAGCCCAGGCTGGCCTCGAACTCACAGAGATCCGCCTGGCTCTGCCTCCCGAGTGCTGGGATTAAAGGCGTGCGCCACCACCCCGCCCGGCATGTAGTCACTTTTAATCAGGAAGGGAGTGAAGGCACATGGCAAAATCCATCTTTTCCATCCCTAGCAAAGATGGTCATCAGCTATGGGGCTGTCGGTCCCGATGGGGGCAGCAGCTAAGATGGTGGCATGCCACATGTGTCCTCTAAGATCACCTATGCACAGATTTTAACTGTCAACCCTGGGTGACAGGTTTAAGTTAAGCCTTTTGTACAGATTTTACAGATTTTTAACCATACCCAATATGCCTACGAATCTTGAGGTACAGAGAATTTACACAATAGTCTTGCAAATCCTGAGATAAGATTTATATCTTAGCAAAAGTTTTAGACAGTTAAAACTAAAACCAAGAGAATATGAAGTGACTATATAAGCAATAGTCCCCGTTGGGAATAGTCTGTCCCTTTATTTTGTTTTTCTTTCCTTTCTCTGTTACATAGTCAGGTGGCTTGCCTGATATGGGACAGAGATTTTGGAGAAAACCTTTTAACAAGCATGCCTGGGCCTAGAGGAGGGGGAAACCATACCTTACCTCCAGAGCCAGCTTTAATTGAAGTCGGACAGCATAAAATAACAGTCTAATGCCACTCATACCTAAAAGACACCTGAATTCCTATAAAACTGAATCCAGCAAGCTGAGAGAAGGTTCAGAGACAGGAAATTTTTGAGCCCTGGCTACAGACAGAGGATGATGCATGAGGGAGCTGAGAGATGCACTAGCCAGTGAGGAGCGTGTGCAGGGTGTGTATAGCACGGTTGTTGCAACTGGCCTACTTCTTTGCTTTCCCCACCCCCTTGCTAGGTCCTGCTCTGAACTCCCACTTTGCAACAAACTTACAGATCCATCAGCTGTAACTTAAAAGACAGACATATATGCAGTGTGTGTTTATGTGTGTGTGTGTGTGTGTGTGTGTGTGTGTAAGACCAGTCAAAAACAAATGGCTTAGAGCGGAGAAAAGAGTAAGCTTGAACCTCTTGCAGTATTTGCAAAGGTCCTGAATAGTATTGGGAATCTAGGGTGCCATAAGGCAGCATTTGGACTGATTATCTAAGGGGTATTGAGGCCAAATTTGATTGCAAAGGCAAACAAGTTTAGGGCCCTTCAGGTTGGGCACCAGGTGTACAGGCTTGAGGTTTTCTAAATGGTATCCCAGGGGGAAGGACAACATACAGAAGGCATGGTTCCCATGCATGAGAGAGAGGGCAAGAGAAAAAATATCACTGCAGCCTGTAGTCATGAGCATACCCAGGACTCAGGGAGGACCAAACGAGTACCAGGACTCAGGGAGGACCAAACGAGTACCAAGCTTTTTAGAGGGAGGGCTGTCACCTCACTCAACGTGGGTCAGGGCTAACAGCCTGAAGAGGTGACTCAGCACTTGGTACCAGGGCTTTCAATAAGCCTGAAGGCTTGCCAGAAGGCAATGAAAACCTGAGCTCTAGAATGAGGCCTCAACCACAGGAAAGGGTTGGAGAATGGAGTCACAAAACCATGAGGGCCTAGAGAAACTGGGATTACGGACAGCTTCAAAGGGAAGGTGGGAGAAGGGGGCAGGAAAGGGGTGCAATAGGCCAGCTTGGCCTAAGGAAACTTCAGGACTGCAGCTCTAAGGATGGGGCAATGGGATCAGGTGAAACGGGCCAGCCACAACCTTAAAGACCATGGCTGGGGTACCTCCATCTCCAAGAGTACCAGAGGGGTGTGGGACCTTCAACAGTCACTTCCTCGGACTCAGGGAAGCATTTACACTGACCAAAGAGGAAACTTACCAAATTGCTGCTGGTGGATGGGATGCTGAGCAATCAGTGAGCCAGAACGAGTCTGTTGTGGGTGGACTAGAGAGGAGGGATAGGATCCCAGTGAGGCTCAGACCATGTGGGGAGCACAAGTACCAGGAGAACCTATCTGAGTCACAGCACCAAATGCAAGTGTTACAGCTCTGGGGGGAAAGGTATCCTGGCAGTCAGGAGCCAAGGAATACCACAAAGTCACACTGTACAACAAACTTCACAAAAGAGATTTATTGGGAAAGACACAGGAGGGTGGCTGCCTCTGCTAGAGCAAGAAGCAGCAGGGAACTGAGCAGGAGGCAGATTTTATATAGAGTTTCTTGGGGACAGAACTTTCCAGGGTGGCCTGTTGTCTGATCTTGGGGCAAGCTCAGGAATTGGTGGGGCTTTGTGACCTGATCTTGGGCTTTTCACTCTGTAGAGTACAGCTTGTTGTCCGTGTTTTGAGGGGTTGGGTCTGGCCGTTATGGTCATTAAAGGGTTCTGTGGGCGGAGCCTGACAGTTGGAGGTCCTCAGTTGCAGGGTCTGGCTACCTAATTCCCTCAAGGGGCTTACAAATACATCTGTAGCAAATACACAAACTCATGGAGATTAAACAGTTCATTACTGAATGATGAGTGGGTCAAAGAAATCAAGAAAGAAATAAAAATGTTCTGGAATTAAATGAAACTGAAAACACAAAACAACAAGACCACCGAAAGCAGTCCTATGAGGGAAATTTATAGCTCTAAGTGCCTACATTTAAAAAAAAAAAAAAAAAAGACAGCACAAATAAATGGTGTGATGGTGCAACTCAAAAATTTGAAAAAAACAAGAACAAACTAAACCAAACCCAGTGGACAGCAAGAAATAATAAAAATTAGGGCAGAGATTAATGAAATAGAAACAAAGAAAATAATACCAAGAATCAATGAATCTCAGATCTGTTTCTTTGTGAAGATAAACAAGATGGACAGATCCTTGGCCCAATTAAGCAATAAAGAAAAAAAAAAGGGTGGGGTGGGAGTGGGGTGGGGCCAGAACCAGAATGAACAGGGAAATATTACAACAGACATCAAAGATATTCAGAATATTATAAGGGAATACTTTAAAAACCTGTACCCCATTAAGCTGAAAAATCTAAAAGAAATGGATGAACTTATAGATTCAGCAAAACCACCATAATTAAACCAAGAAGTTAACAACCTAAACATACCCATAACAAATGAGGAGATTGAAATAGCAATAAAAAGCCGTCCAGCTATAAGAAGTCCAGGACTAAATAGATTCACAGCAGAACTCTACCAGACTTTCAAGGAAGACCTATAGCCAGTCCTTCTTAAACTATTAAGAAAACAAAACAAAATAAAACAAACAAAAAACAGAAACAGGAGTATTCCCAAACTCCTTCTACATAGCCAGTATCATTCTAAACACAACAACAACAAAAAAAACAAAAACAAAAAAACAGGCAAAAACACAACCTAAAATGAAAACAACAATGTCAATGGTGAACATAGACTCAAAAATGCTCAATAAAGTACTTACAAATACAGACATATAAGAAAGATTATACACCATGACTAAGTTGGTTTTATCCATGAAATGCAGGGATATTTCAACCTATACGAGTCTATAAATGTAATAAACTAAATAAATGTACTTAAAGACAAAAATCACATGATCATCTTAATAGACTCAGAAAAACAACAAGGATGTCTAAGGAATAAGAAATCACATAAGTCATAAGGAATCATACTACTGACTGTTTACTTAAAAAACCTATAATAATGTAATTCTTTCTATAAACATACATATGAAGTTTTAATGAACTTTACTCATTTGGGCTGACAATGCTCCCTCCAAGAGCCAAAGACCACCTAACAAAAACCTAATACCATACATGAGATGCACTTATTTTTGATAAGTTAGCCAGCACTGTCCAAGAGATTCCTTAAATATACAGCCTATTGCTATTGCCCTTGGTTGCCACCCCTAGAGGTAGAAGGTAATTCCAGATTGCTGAAGACACCATGCATTCAGAAACAGGACCCAGAGACCTCTGAGCTGGAACTGACCTGAATGCTTCTTCCCTGAGGACTAGCTTTCACGGCATCAGAAGGTACCACACAAGTTTCCACAGGAGGGAAGCAAGCAACAGTGCTACACAGCTATGACACTTAAGAACCACATCAATGTCCAGCATGTTACAATAACTACTGGGTGCAGTAGTGGCGTGCGGACCTTGGCAGTAACCAACAGCTCTCAAATTGCTCAACAAGAGGGAAACCATGCCTGTTACTGGAAACCTAGCAAACTACTCAGTGCTAGTAAAATCATAGATATTGGAAGAGAACTTACAACCACTACTTTACTAAACCAGTATAATCCCTAGCAACAATCTAAACATTTGTCTTAATACTCAAAGTAAATGTAGTTTTTACTCATTAAGGAAACTTTAGCTAGACAAAGCCCACTACAGAAAACTGCAGCCAATCAAAATGCAAGAGTTGTGGAGCCCAGTTCCAATGGATACATCTACAAAACATTCCTGCACCTAAGGTTCAGGGAACATTGTAGAAGAATTGTAGAACACTGTATAAGAAGAGGGGGTAAGAAGATGTAAGAACCAAAGTACAAGGCAGTTTGCTGTGAGACTGTGTCTGCTAGTGATTGTTAGAAGCTATGCCCATAAAGTCTCATCAACATGGCCATGCAAATATGAGCTAAACAAGGACAACAGCAATACACATGCCAAGTGGGAGAAATAGTCTTCCCCATGGAAAAGCAGACCAATTATCCAATACCAAACTGTCAGCCCTCAATTTGCACATACACATAATATCATACAGACTGAGACTGTATTTAGGAATATACATATATATGCATGTAATGACAATTAATGAAAAAAAGAGGCCATGAATTTGAAAGAGTTCAAGGAGGGGTATATAGAAGACTTTAGAGGGAAGGGAAGGGGGAAAAAGATGTAATTATTTTATACTCTCAAAAATAAAAGAAGTAATTTAAAAATTATGGTATATATATTTTCATAGGTTTCATAAAGGGAAATTAATTTTTCTTATGGATTTCATTTTGATGGTATGAGATAAAACAGGTAAACATATAAGCAAACATCATCTCTCTACATATGTGTGTCCTTGATTATATGAATGTAAATATGTATGAGGCATGAATGTAATACTTATTAAGATACCTGGGTCATTCTGCCAGTGAAGCCACATCCATAATCCCAATGACATCTATTACCTCCAGCTAACTGGCAGTGGTGGGCTGGCCTCTCAGTTCTGCATGGAATGAGCTGGCTTGCTCTAGGGGCCTTTCAAACTAGGAAAGGAGACAGATCCTTATAATGTCCTGGCAACCTGGGAATCCATATTTACTTGATTAATTTATCAAAGGCAATGAACTTTTATATGTAATTGGAGGTATTGCTTTTAATTCTAGGAAATATGCATGACCAAGCACAGTGGTCATGCTAGTCACCTCATGACTAGAAGGTGGAGGCATAAATATATCAACTAAAATTTCTATATTATAATGTGTACAGTGGCATCTTCTGCAGTATGGCTTGTCTTACCTTGATCTTTTGGTGGTACTGATGAAGAATTCCGCATTATGATGTATGTGACTTGAACAGTAACTTTCCTAAAATATTCAAGAACAAAGAATTAGAGAATTGTTGAGATATTATGTTAATACACAGTAAAATATGAATTATAAGAGCTTTTGAAAAATGTTTTCCTTATTTATAACTAAATGAGTGTTAAGAAATGGGTCTTAAGCTACTAATCGTTGCATGTATTTTCTGTTCATTTTTCTATGATAGGATTTTGCCAAATATACTGGACTGGACTGGACTTGGGGAAGGATGCTATGATGTGGTATGAGGGTCTACCTACACCTCTGTTGTCACAGTCAAATAGAAATAAGCCAAGTGCAGAGTCTCTGAAAATGCCCTGCCTGATAACTGTACTTCACACATATTGTTTAAACAATAATTACTAAAATAAATTATAAGTGCTGACAACTAAAATACTAAAACAAGTACTAAAATATAAATCATAAGCTGCAAGAACAACGTAAGTCTAATACAGTCACTTGATAGAATATAGTCTCACCAATGTAAAAAGAATATGAAACCTATTGGAGGAGCATAAGAAATGCTGATACAATCACACTAAAAGACAGATGCCAATATTATAGTCATATAGGAACGCACATGGTGGCAAATTAGCATATGTGTCTGCACTGTGCTTGGTCATGGAATTATAAGTTTTCCTTTTTAGGTTAGCAAATTTCCAAATTGTTATACATTGACCAGCAACTCAGTATTCATGAGACTTGGTACTGGGAACCTCTCAGAGATCAGAAGTCAGGATTCTGGTATGCTATTTGCACATAATCCATATACATTCTCTTGTATGCTTTAAATAATTTCTAGATTACTCCACTACTTGGGTACAATGTAAATGATATATAAATAGATACTGGTATATGGGTGTATCCAACCTGAGGCCTAGCTATGAATGTGGTCAAACACATCTGTAGATGAAAGAGTCATGTCACAACATCCAAGGGTTGGACATGCTGCTTGTTTAGGGAATAATAAAATAAAAAAGTCACTACATGTTCTGTATAGATGCAGCTTTAATTAATTATAGGCAACTAATTCATCTGTTTATTTGAGACAAGTTTTTACTTTGTAGCCCAGTCTGGCCTGGAACTCACAGAAATGTCTGTGCCTCAGTCTCCCAAGTATGAACAACATGTTCAGCTATAAACGCAGCTTAAAAACTATTTTTGAAGCAAGGCATGGAAGTTCATGCCTGTAAATCCTAGCACTTGAGGCTGGAAGCAGGAAGATGAGAAATTCAAAGCCAGCCTGGGCTACATGACAGCCTGTCTAAAAAAACCTGGAATATAAAACATGTTATTATTGTTATTTTGAGACAGGGTCTCACTATGCAGCTGTGGCTTACAACTTTTTTTTTTTTAAGTGGAAAGTTTCATCAGTCTTGAACTCAGTGGTTTTTGATGTTGATATTACTTAGAAAAACATCTGTACCTAAAAGCTTATAAAAATATTGGGCATTATTTTTCCAAAGATCTTAATTGTCTTTTTTTATTCAAACACAGTCACATTTCTATTTTACATCCTCAAAATTAGAATTTTGGCCCATGTGGTGCTACACGCATTTAATTCCAGCACTTAGAAGGCAGAGGCAGGCATATCTCTGTAAGTTCAAGGCCAGCCTGGTCTACATATTAAGTTCTAGATAAAAAATAAGGATGGAACAGATAATCAAATCTTTCAAAGACACCAGAAATTAGTTCATAAAAACAGATCCTAACTGTAGTCAAATTTCTAGGCGGTCTTATTAAATAAAAAACACGGAGCCAAATATAGGGGTGAAAGCCTTCAAGATCAGGGAAATAGTGAGAGCCACCAACCAACCTTACCTCACCAGCTCTGCAACTTCCAAAATGCCATGACTTCATGTCTACCCATGCTTTTATTGCCTTGCTGTTCTGCCCTCTCATTGGCTCCTTAGCCCAGCTACCTCACTCCCTGTCTGTACAGACCTCCAGGTCTCTATGGTTGGTACTGGGATTAAAGGTGTGTGTCACTATGTTCCCTAGTATGGCCTTGAACACACAGAGACCCTGCTTGCCAAGTGTTTGGATTAAGGGCGTGTGCTACCACTGCTTGACTCTTGTGTTTACTTAATGGCTTGCTATTTCCTCTGATCTCCAGGCAAACTTTATTTATTAATATACAAATAAAATATCACCACATTTCAGCACAAATAAAATATCACATTTCCCCTTTTTTTGTCTAATAAAAAAGTTATAACTAACATAAGAAAAACTATATACAATAAGTATAATAACTATATACAATATATATAAGCAATAAATACATCAACAATGTCTAGTCCATTTGCATTTGACAAATTCAGAGAAAATATTCCATTATTTATCCTATTTTGGTAAGTCCAAAATGTACCTAATTCACTGTTTATCCTAACTTGTATTATCAACAGAAAACTATCTTATGATATCTTTCAAACATATAATTAACACCTCTTAGTTTCTTTTCTGAATTTCTTAACAAAGAAAATTGTTACTACAACTATCTAATCTTTAACTCCATCAGAGACCCAAGAAGGAAATAATATTACCTAGTAAAACAGGAAGTGCAAACAAGCGACTTCCAAAAAAATGTGAGTTGACAGAAACATCCAGCTGCCTGGACAGTCATCCGAGGTTCCTCTGCTTAGACTTTCCTGGACAATGAGACACATATGCTCCTGGCAGGATAGATTTACTTCAGAGAGGAGGATGGGCATCAAAGACACTCCATATGGAGTTTGTCTTCTTTTTGGCAAAAATAGCCATTTGGGCAAGAAACTGTTTTTGACTGGACTGCTTGACAAAATGTTGTATCAACTGAACATGCAGGACTCATAGGAAGATGACCACCAAACTTTGCAAGGCGAGATGGTTTTTCAGGTTCCTGCTTTGTAGAAGAAACTGCCAGAAATTCTAGAGGACACAGAGAGAAGAGACTGAGAGACTCTAGGCCTATATGGCTGAAGATGGATGCCCCAAAGTTGCAGAGGAACTGTGAATGACTGTCCAGGCAGGTAGCTGTCTCTGTCATTCTAAATTTTTGGAAGATGCTCACAAAGCTCTTCCCTATTTACTTAGGTAATATTATATCCTTCTGAGGTCTTTGATATAGTTGAAGACTAGATAGTTATAATTATGATCTTCCCTGGGTATGATAAGAGATAAATTAGATATGAAACTTTAGACTCACAAATATAAGATAGATAAAATATTTTAATTTTGCCAAATACAAATAGACTAGATATTATAACTGTAATTCTTGCCTGATAACTGTTTTGTTATATATAATTTTACTATGTTAAAGTTAAAACTTTCCTTTTTAATTAAACAAAAAAGGGGAAATGTTGTGGGATAATGCTTTTGTACACTGATTTAATAAAATGCTGATTGGCCAGTAGCCCGGCAGGAAGTATAGGCAGGGTAAGCAGACAAGGAGAATTCTGGGAAGAGAAAGGCTGAGTCAGGAGACACTGGCCTGCCGTCCAGGGAGCAGCATGTAATGGCACACAGGTAAAGCCACGGAACACGTGGCAACATATAGATTAACAAACATGGGCTGAGTTTAAGTATAAGAGCTAGTCAGTGGTAGGCCTGAACTAATGGCCAAGCAGTTTTAATTAATATAAGCCTCTGTATGTTTACTTGGGGGATGCAAGTGGGAGAGATATGTCCAGACCGCCGGCAGGCTGGGACACAAGATATCTTCCAACTACACCTAATGAGGTTGGAGAGACGGCTCAGAGGTTGAGTACTGTTTGGTCTCCAAGAGGGTTTGGGCTGGATTCCCAGCACCTGTGTGGCAGCTCACTGCCATCTGTAACTCCAGTTCCAGAGGATCCGATGCCCTTTTCTGGCCTCCACAGGCACCAGACATATGAGTGGTATGCAGACATACCACAGGCAAAACACCCATACACATAAAATAAAAACAAGTATGAGTTGTGAAAAATACAGAAACAGCTGGATGTGAGGGGAGGGTTGCCCAGGTGCTGCTGGTGTGGTAGGCACTTGCTGTGTTGTGCACAGCACTCCTGGAGGCTTAGAGGGATTACTCCTCAGGGCTACACCTTCTCTCCACTTTAGGAATTACTCTCAGCATCATCATGGCATCCAACATCACTTCATAAACATCGTCTTGAAACCAACTCAATTCTGTACAACGAAATCAGACATTGAAAAGAATGACACTATTTTAAAGGCTGTTTCTTAAAAAATACTTAAACATAAAAAGTGATTAAGATATTTTTGCTTAAAAAGGTTGGGTACGGAGCAATGTCATTCCTTTTTTTAATATATACATAAGAAAAACTACACTAATTTAATACTTTCTTTTTGTATTTACATACTGGTTTCACTAATGAACAACTACTACCTTTGAAATCAGAAGAAAACACAAGTTACTGTTTTAGAACAACATATTAGAAAAAGAGGACCATTTGTACAGGTTGTCTTTTCACTCTGACATTTCCTTTGCTGGCAGAAGCTTTTTAGTTTGATGCAATTCAATTAATTGATTTTGCTTGCTTCCTAGGCTTTAGGATCTTGTCCAAAAAACTGTTGTTCACTCCAAAGTCCTGAAACATTTCTCTGTGTTTTCTGCTAATACTTTCGTATCTTACACTTAAAATTTCAATCAGTTTTGAGTGGTTTTGAGAACAAGGAGTCTATTTTCCTTTTTTTTAATTAAGAAATTTTTTTCATTCATTTTACACACCAATCAAAGATCCCCTCTTCCCTCCTCCTGTCCCCACATCCTCCCACCCAAACCTACCTCCCACTGTCCTCCACAGGAAGGCAAGGCCAGCCATGGCGAGGCACATCCAGTCAAGGCAAGTCCAAGCCCTTTCCCCTGCCTCAAGGCTGCAGGAGGTGTCCGATCATAGGTAGTGGGCTCCAAAAACCCCCTTATGTACCAGGGATGGATTCTGATTCTACCGCCAGGGGGACCCCCAAGCAGATCAAGCTACACATTGTCTCCCATGCAGAGGGCCTAGTCCAGTCCCATGCAGGCT